TACCGTTCCCTTAAGATTTAGGGGAAAGTTGGCATACGAGTATATTCGTGCCAAAAAACAATAGTTGCAAAAAATTTTGTTTTAATCTAGCTCAATTCTAACCCATAGTTAATTTAATACAACGAGTGTCAATCCTTTTGGCGCCGCTTTTATTACTGACAAACCTATGCATAGACTGGCCAACACTGATACGACAATACATATCGTGAATCCTATGGTTGACAGCAATAGGTATGAGATGTGAAAGAATTGACCCAAACCTCTGAAAATCAATTTTATTTTATTTTGTATACAATTTCGCGAAGTATTATATTTTCGTGAGACATACTCCACGTTATCATAGGACGGGATGTACGTAGAGTTGGGTAGTGTTTCAAATCGGGTGAACACAATTTGGATGACATCCACCGGACAGTTGTCTAGAGTAGTCGGTAACGACACTTTCGGTCGCGGGATAACCAACGAACCGATAGCTAGGACTGAGTTAACGCCATATCCACTCAGAAATCCTATTAATGCGCCCTTTATTACACATATAATCATAAAATAAATACCCTTTTATGACAGAGTACTGTATATGTTTTGTCTACCGGTGCGGTGGCGTACGGATAGAATATGCCGACAAGAAATAAGGCAAATATAGGGCCTCCCATTGCGCCGCTCAAAGCCAAAGACGCTTGAAATACAGTCCCTGCGTTTCCTACGAGAAACGCGAACCCAATGATTATAAATCCGTACGACATGGCTGTCCACATGATATACAGTACAACCATCAATATCACTGTTTATTAATTAATATAAACTCACCAATTAATTTAGTGATAATCAGTGCCTGTCTATCGTTTTTGAGTTTCACCCGATCCTTAAAGAGGTCCTCCCAAGTGATGGCCGCCAATGAGTTATATCCCGACGATAGGGTGCTTTCAATTACAGTATAATTAATTAAATTTTAAATTATTTTACAATTTTTTAAAGACATACCTGAGCGACCCACTGAACACACATGCCACAAAAAGACCCGGAAGTCCCGGGTATTGTGATAGAGTATCCATAACATAATACGGCATGAGTTGATCGTGCCTTTTAATCAAACCCAAAGTAACAGGGTCACACGCGTGGTATTTGGCGTATATGACCATGCCACACATTATGGACATCAAGAGAAATACTATGATCCCCGGGAGGTTCCAATACAACGCCCTATTTGTTGTATTTTAAATAATAAGTGTAAGAGTGTTGTTGATTAAACAAATACAGATTTAATATTGTAAAATAATAAACATACCGCCGACCCATTTGAGGTGACCCTACATTACAATAGCGTTGTATCTGTGACTGTGATATACTGTAACTGCCCGACAATGTGACGGTCGTACCAATTAATACATTCCAGAAGTTGTCGTGATTATAGACATCCACTTTCATGCTTGATATCATTATTGTAAATAGGAAATATTTACCAATATTCAGATTTATATAAACCTTTAACGCAATTGTAGAAACTATTTACTTAAAAAACTTGAGTCGACCACCTTGCTCATTGATGTCCCATAACTTCTTGAGGCCACCGGTTTCTATCACACCCTGTATTTGTAATACTTAAGATTTATTTTGCTCAACTAATTTATATTTTGCTTTTAAATTACTGTTACGATAACCACAAGCACTCCCAGAAACATGAGTGAGCCCTGCAATACGTCCGTCCAAATGACCGCTTTTATGCCTCCCTTTCCAATAGAAATTATGTATTAATTATATTCCGTTAAATTGTTTATTAATTAAATTATGTTAACTAACAATGGATGTGTAGAAAGTGCATATAAATCCCACCAAAATTATAGACATCGGTATTGATAGCGGTGTCACTGATTAACATAGTTTTATTTTGTATAAAGTTTTGTTCATTTAATTGAAAGTATTTGATACCTGCACTGAGTGCCACTGCCGGCCCATACAATACAGTCGCCAAATAAAATATCTAAATATATAAAAAGTGTGCATGTTTGTATTGATAACCTTATTTTAGTTGAGAAGTATAAATATATCCGATGTTAATGTAAAGCAATGACTAAAAATGTTTTCCAAAACAGGTATATAACAAGTTATATGAATCATATAATATGATTACTAGATAAACATGATCATAAACATTAATTAGTTACATATTTAAACGTTAACCCAATTGTGCCGGCTAATCGCATATAGTTGGCGTCAAATCGTTTTCCTAAATACTAAACTCGCAATAGTTATGCTTGTTCATTATTTTAATCAATTTATATCTCAAACCTCATTAACACTTATGAAACCCATTGTATAATAGATAGGCATAAAAACCTCAGCCGTTAATACAATGGCTATAATATATGAAACTGCTTCCAGCCACATTTGAGTGCCCACTTGGTATACCTCAACCGGCATTCCCAGCAGTGTATTAGTGGACATAAATGTGGCCACCATAGATATTATGACCGGGATGAGACTGAGTTGCCGGTTACCGGTCAGGTACTCGGCATTTGTGGCTGTATTTCGCGATTTGTACCAAAAGTATACTCCGATTAGTGATGAGGCGATCAATAGCGACACAAACACTAAATAGTCTACGATTGAGAAGTTTGTGTCCAACATATTAACACACTATTTGTTTTTTGTTAAGTCACAAAAAATTATATATATATTTAGGTTTTAAATACCAGTAATTTAAAATACAATTATTATAGCTTTGTTTGCTGTTAAATCACATAAACAAATTGTTTGATCAAAAAATGTGTTTTATGTTTTGTAAATGTTTAAAAAATATATTATTTATTTAATCGTAATCTATTCGCTTCTTTAATAAACATTATTAACAATCAAGGTTAATCAATAAATACAAAATTTATATTTTTCCTGTCCAATCTAGATGTTATTTATGTAGTGTTAATCTTGTTTAATAAAAATCGTTTTATACTTTATCATTGATCATTATTTTTGTCAAATTTTATTCATAAATGTTTAAAATGATATTAATAATAGTTTTAATTAGCTTTACATTTCTCTTTATATTATTTACAAAATAATTTATATTATTAATAAATGCCTAAACCCTGGTCACTTTATGTGTAATATTTCGTGTGCCATTCGGATCCGAAATATTCGTGGCATCTATTGTCTCGATTTCATTGGATTTTTGCTGATAATATAAATTCATATGAATATTAAAAATATAAATTACTGTACAAATTACAATACCATAGTTTGGGCG